GAGGAAGAAAAAAGGATATTTAACAAAATAGAGGACCTTCAAGCATTCCTGTTAAAAAGACCAGAGAGGAATAGAAAATTTTACTTTCAAATACAAGACTCAAGAGCAACATAAAATGGTAAAAATGAAAGAGAAATCATACAGAACACCTTAAGGTTAAACTATTTACATTTCTATATGCAAAGATGATAAAAGTAACTCTTAAGAACTTCATCATTATTGGGGCAGCTAGGTGGCACAGTGGATAGAGCACCAGCCCTGAAGTCAGGAGGACCTGAGTTCAAATCCGGCCTCAGACCCAACACTTGACACTTACTAGCTGTGTGACCTTGGGCAAGTCGCTTAACCCCAATTGCCTAAAAAAAAAAAAGCCAAAAAAAAAAAAAGAACTTCATCATTATTAGGGAAGATAGAAGGACTTGTCATAGAGGGCATGCTAGTGAGTTGGTGTTGGGATGATCTTGAAAAAAAAAAAGAGATAGGTGAGAAAGATGGTTATATTGGGAGAAATGGGAAAGGAGAGGTATAATGGGAAATATTGATACACGCAAAAGAGACATGGAAGGAAGAGCTGTTATAATGGAGGGGAAAATGGTAGAGGTGTAGGTAACAAACTTTACTCTCATCTGAGTTAGTTTAAAGAGGGAAGAATACATACACACACACACACACAGCTGGGTATAACAACCTATCTTATCAAAAAGGGAAGTAGGAAAAGAAGGGGATATAAGAAAGGCTGGTTGGCAAAAGGGAGGGCAGATTAAGGGAGGCAGTAGTAAAAAAACAAAGCAAAACAGACTTTTGAGGAAGGAAAGGGTAAAAACACATAGAGAAGGATAAAACAGAAGAAAATGGTTTGGAGGGAAATGTACAGTAAGTAATTATAACTGAGAAAGTGAATGGAATGAACTCACTCATAAAACAGAAGGAGACGATAGAATGGATTAGAAACTAGAATCCAAAAATATGCTGCTTATGAAAAAACATACTTGGAAAAGAGAGATATGTAGAGTTAAAGTCAAGGACTAGAGCAGAATTTATTATACTTTTGCTAAAGTCAAAAAGGCAAGGGTAGCAATCATGATCTCAGACAAAGCAAAAGCAAAAAGAGACCTAATGACAAGAGATAAATAGGGAACCTCCATCTTATTAAAATGCACTATTAACGATGAAATAATAATCAATACTAACACCAAATGACATAGCATCCAAATTCTCAGAGGAAAAGTTACATGAACTACAGGAGGAATAAGACAGTAAAATTAACTAGTGGGGGACCTCAACCTTCCCCTCTCAGAGCTAAATAAACCTAACTATAAAATAAATGAAAAAGAGGCTAAGGAGACAAACAGAATTTTAGAATATTTAGATATGATACACCCCTGGAAATTGAATGGGGAAGAAAAGGACCATCCTGTTTCTCAGTTATACATGGCACCTTCACAAAAACTGACTATGTATTAGGGCATAAAAAGCTCACAAACAAATGTAAAAAAGCTGCAATGTTCAATGCACTATTTTCAAACCATAATGAAAAAAAAAATTTCAATAAAGTGGCACAGAAGTACAGATTTTTTTAAAAAACCTAGAAACTAAATAATCTAATCCTAATGAATGAATGGGACACAGAACAAGTCATGGAAAAACCCCAACAATGTCATTAAAGAAGATGACAGTGAGACAACATACCAAAATTTGAGGAGTACAGCCAAAGTACACTTAGGGAAAAATTTATATCTCCAAACTCATACATCAAACAGAAGAGATAAAGAACAGATCAATGAATTGGGTGTGTAATTTAAAAAAAACAAAAGAAAAAGAACAAATAAAAATCTCCAATGAAATGCAAAGATAGAAATCCTGAAAATCAAAGGAGAAATTAAAACATTGGAAAAGGAAAAAACAAAACAGTTAACCAATAAATAAAAGTAGTAGATGGCTTTATGGGGGAAAAAAACAGAAAGTAACCCACTGGTTAATTTTCTTTTTAGATAAGAAAGAAGGAAATCAAATTATCAGAAAGAAAAATGAAAAAGGTAAATGCAGCACCAATGAAGATGAAATTAAATCAATTTGTCTAATTCCAATACAATAAAACTGACAACCTAAATGAAGGCAATGGATATTTACAAAAATATAAATTGCCTGGATTAACATCAGAGAAAATAGAAAACTTTAAATATAAATAACCTTATCTTAGAAAGAGAAATTGGACAACACATAAATGAGCTGCCTAGGAAATAATCCCCTGGACCAGATGGCTTTAAAAATGAATTCTATCAAACATTTAAGGAACAATCAATCCAAAACTCTGTAAAGTCTTAGAAAAAATAGGTAAAGGAATCCTATCAAATTCTCTTTATGACACAAATACTGTTTTGCAACCTAAATCAGGAAGAGCAAAAACAGAAAAGGAAAACTACAGACCAATTTCTCTAATGAGTATTAATGCAAAAAATTTACATAAAATACTATCAAGGAGATTGCGGCAATAAATCTCAAAGACTATGACCAGATGGGATTTATACCAGGAATGCAAGGCTGGTTTAATATTAGGGAAAGTATTAGTATAATTGACTCTATCACAACTAGAATATTCTAAAATGCCAACAACAAAAATGAATTAAAAATTTAAATAGAGAGAAAAAAAGGAGATCACAAGACAACATGGCACTTTGGTTGAGAATCCTGGGGGAAGGAAGATACCACATGGAATAGTATTTGACTACTGTGCTAATTATTTCTCAAGCTATAATGAAGCTTTCCATTTTAAACCTATTAACAGTAAAGTGAACATTTAAAATGAACAGAAAAATGACCACTCAAAAAACCCAAATTCCAAATTTATAGTAAATGCTTTAAGCACTACCCATGTTAGGAAGAGCGGCCATTTTCATTTCATGGGGAGTGACAAGAGAGCTTGCCCTGTTGACCTCCCATTGCCTCAACTTTGAAAAACCTGAGGTCTGAGAAAACACTCCCACACTCCCTCACTGTGCTTCTGGCCACCAGCTGCTTCTAGGTGAAGTGAGAAGGTGACCGTATAACAGCCACCACCTCTTCATTAATAAAAGAAGATCTGTCTTTGCTACTGTGTAATCTTGGGTGAGTCACTTCATTTCAGTGTCCTAATATGTAAAATGAAAGCATTAGGCCAAGTTATTTCAAGGCTCCTTCTGCCTCTAAAATACTATGATTCCCTCATCAGGAATGTTCTTGCTCTCTGTCCCCTCATTCCCTGCTCCTTCTAGGTGTTGTCACTGATTTCCACATGCAAACTTAGGGGAGATGAGGCTGTGTGCTATTTTTCCTTTACCAGTTTCCCTACGGCTCAAATTCCTTTCTTCAAGTTGAACCTTTTTGCTAGATTAGTGACCCAAATTTTGATCCAGTCACTTTGTCTGGGCTCCTTACCAACTCCTGTGGTAGATTCTTTCCAACTTTCTCAGCATCTGCTACACCTCCTTAACTATTCTCTTGTTGATACTTCTGCTTACTTCTCTACTCCCTCAGTCATGCTTGACCTATTCTAACATCTGTTTACCTGCTTCTTTCACTGACTCCTAAATACACCATCTGATTCTCTTCAGCCCAGCCCCTTGCCCTGTGTCTAAAACCTCTGCCACTCATCTCTACTTCTGCAAGACTGTCAATCTTTAATTCATTGCGGATATTGATAAAAGACAGGGAAATAGAGTGTTTTAGGCATGAAGATAGTTGAGAAAAAATGCTAACTTATCCTGCTCTGGAGTGTAAGTCATGAAGTATGAACATGGTACTTGGTAAAACTTTCATTTCCCAATACATTGACCATAAAGCTCTAACACCCAACTCATTCATTACCTCAAGTTCCATCATGATAACTGATCATCCTAACTTAAGAATTCTCTCTAAACCAAAGATTTCTAACCTGGGGTCCATGGACCACTACCAAGGGGTCTGTAGACAGATTTCAGGGAGTCCATGGACTTAGATGAGGAAAATTGCATCTTTACTTCAATATAATTGATTTTTTATATAATTGGATATATTTCTCTTATGTATTTAAATACAATATTCTAAGAAGAGGTAGATAGGTTCCACCAGACTTTCAAAGGAGTCCATGACAGAAAAAAATTAAGAGCCAATGTGTTGAAAACAAAAAATTTTAAAAATGTATTAAACCTTCTTTTCCTGAATAGACACTTAGGAAAAAATGGCTCCTATTGAAGAGGGATCTAAATATTTGGTCTTTACTACAAATATTTTATCTCTGATTAGCGAAGGTAAGTAAAGGTGCTTAGAAGGATATCAGAATACAATGCCAGGCAGTACAACCTCAACATTGCTTCTATTGTATTTAAAGAGTTGAACATTGTTAGAAAATATGGTAGTGAGAGCTGATGAATTTAAGTGGCTTGGATTGAAATGGGCCACTCTGGACAGCACAAAACAAAAAGGCGACCAAGATATTTTCCAACTTTATGTCTGTCACATGACTGTGATTAATTCACCAGTAGAGCCCAAGAATAATTTCAATATAGTGGTAAATGATCTCAGGCTTTCAGGGCCAAAAGTCTAATTTCTCATATGCAATGAATCTGACTTTTAAATTCTGGTTTCCAAATTTCTAACTGTGAATTCTACAGAGGAATAAATTAACATGGCTAGGATAAGTTTTTTAAATCCTGTGTAGGATATTCTAATTTCCACCATATAATAATCATTAATTCCACAGAAACATGAAAGGCTTTTTTTTTTATATTTGTAACAGAAAAAGAGAATCACAGATTTAGAGCTAGAGGGGTCCTCAGAGGTCTAATCCAACCACTTCATTTTACAGATAAGGAAACTGAGGTCCAGGGAGGTTAACTGGCTTGCCCAAGGTCACATGGCTAGTGTTAGGAGCAGGATTTAAACCCTTGTGCTCTGACTCCAGAGTGTCCACTGTATCCTCGTGCCTCTAAATTAGTGCTCTACTACTGTTAAACAGCTATATTTGAACTACTTGAACCACCAACCTGCAAATATTGTTGACGGAGTCTTCGGGACAGTGATGGTGGCATTTGCATTGCAAGACCTTTGGCCGAGGGGTAGGGGCTGTGATCACACCGTCTTCCTTCTTGCTGTCCACATTCAGCTTTGCCGAACTTCGCAAAAGCATATTGTCAAGGAAATTAGCTATAAAGGAAGAGCAATATATGTATATATATATTTTTTACACCTATGGAGAGTTTCCAGTGGTATCTACCAAAAAATAAAAAGGAGAAGAAACTTATGGCATGTAATTTTTTGAAAGTAGTCTGTGGTCAGTGTTCATTCATATAATTCAAATTGAGAGATTTTATGTAAAAAAGGTCACTATTGTGTGAAGAATGAATTTCTCCACATGAGATAAAGTTTCATAAAATATACAAAAATTTGCACAATCATTTCAACCTAATCTTCTATATTTTAATAATTACATAGAAAATATACAGCAAGAAGTGATGAGAAAAATAATTTTCTGCCCTGTATTTCATTATGAGGCCAAAATCCCAACTGTTTACCAGTAACTAGGTAGCAGAGTCAATAAAGTGCTCGGGAAGACCAGAGTTCAAAATCTGCCTCAGACACTTATTAACTGGGTAACCTGGGCAAGGTTCATAATCTCCCTGGTCCTCAGTTTCCTTTCTATTAAATGGGGATCATAATAGTCTCTATCTCCCAGAATCCTTGTGAGGATCACAGGAGACAGCATTATGTTAATCACTTTGACAACCTTATACCACTACCTAAATCCCGGCTCCTAACATTATCCTCATCATCCTCATCCAGATATGTATCATTCTTGGCAGCTGTTGTAAACAGGAACGTATACCTACTGTAACAGCTGAGAGTGACAACCCTTTTATTTGGGGTAGGGATTAGACATTCTTCCTTAAACCAGGATAAGTAAAATTACAATGGGATAAAAGGTAGCATGACAATAGGGTAACACATCACCAAGATACAAGCCAAACAGGGTAGCAATAATATAGCAAAAAGCAGAAACTTTTACATTTTCTAAATAATATGATCAATCCAGTTAGATATTTTCCTTTTTCTGGTGGAGTTAAATTAAAGCCCTAGACCTGGATTCAAATTCTAGGTCTTGTACCATGGACAGCTCACTTCATTCCTGGCATCGTGCGCTCCTCTGTAAAATGAGTTTAGATTTGATGGCCCCTACCAGCTTTAAGCCCACAAAACGTTAAGACTGACAATACTTCATTCAAGGTCCTATGGATTTGGCATCAAAAATTAGCCATACTTTGACTATAAAAAATCAAAACTTTTAATTAAAGCACTACAACTGAATTTTATAAAGCCACAAATGCTTCTTGCCAATTGCCCCATCAAACAATAAGTATTAGAAGATGTACTGAGAATTTTGAATGCTGCTCAAGTTCTTTCAGGTATGAAAAGTTTTACAACTAACTACAACACAGAGCTAATTAGTAAAATGATGGAAAAATCAGCCAAATATGACAATCACTTTCATACAAATTCTTATTCCAGCCCTACCTAGGATTTAATTTGCCAAATTCAAACAAAATATCCAGGGACCAATTTTCTCTAGCCTTCAACTTTCCCGTTACTCTTTAAATAGGAATCTCATCCCTCAAAGTGACCATTTGACTTGTGTCCATTCATTGACTACAGTGACTGAAATACGACATACATTATATCTCTGACGATTTTCACTCAACAGTTCCATACACTTCTCCATCATCTCCCTCCAACCAACAGCTTTCCAAGTACATAAAATTACAATTTCATATTCACAGAACAATAGATCTAGAGCTGGAAGAGATCTCAGAGGTGATCTAGTATAACCTGAGGTCCAGAGAAAGCAAATGACTTGCCCAAAGTCACAAAAACAATGCCTGAGACAAGATGTGCTTATTCAAGTCCATGGAATTCGGAGGTCTTCAGTACTCTTTCTACTGTACCACATCTTTCCATTTTTATTTTTTTTTACCAGTATTGGAACAGTATTTTTTTTTACCATTACATTGAAAATGAACAGAATTTTACCTATGTTATAAATTAAATGGGCTTTTATGGATTAACTAGTCACCATTTATAACCACTTTACATTATTTTACATGAAACAAATTAATTCCAATTGACTATTTATAGCATAATTCATTTTTAATTTTGTGGCTCCTTGTATAGATCAATCTCTTTATATCACACTTAGGTGAATTTCACACTTATTAGGTACTTAACAAGTTCAAGTTCAAGGCAGTATTCTAGGCAATTTTTGCAAGGAAACAGCCCTGGACTGAAGGAACCCATAAGTCCAATGTTCTCTAGATCCAGGCAAATACAGAAATTCTACATATTAACCACTGGAGCGTGATTTGGTTGGTTTTCTTTTTTAATCAAAATGGAAATTGGCCCAGAGAGGTTAAGAAATTTGCTCAAGGTCACAGAGGTAATGAGTGTCAGAGGTGACATGTGAACCCACATTAAAAAAAAAAAGTGTCCCATAACCTACTCAGGGATGGCACCCTACATTCTATCCACTGATCAGTGATTTTTATAACTTACAAACCATTCTTCAAAATTGTTTGCAGAATTTAAAAAAAGATGAAATCCATTTTTCTCCCAAGAAAACTGTTTTCTAAATAAAAGGAAAATACCAGCAACTACATAGAAATAGTTTTTATACTTCAGAGATCACAAAATACAGAGTTTGAGGGCAGCTGTTTGATATCTGAGAAAACTTTTATACCCTGAAGTGTACTTTTCTGAGCATAAGGCAAAGCACATATGTGAAGATAAGTATATGTGTGCATATATATGAATGAAAATTTCTTTTCTTTTGTTTCCAACTATATCTATTCTTTACCCAGTGAGTGAGCCGTTTAACAAAGAAAGAAAAATGTTTTTAAAAGTTGCTCTTTCTCCATTAAACAAAAGCTTAGAATGATTTAAGACATAATAAAAAACTGGGCCGTGTGTTTTAATTTTCTGATTTTTAAAACATTAATGACAAGAAAAGGTAGGGCAATAAAGAGCCCTAAAGTTAGGAGTTAGAAGTCCCAGACATAGGATAATGGACTCAGAAATTGTAGAGTCTGACAGAAACTCAGAGGACTGAGAAAGAATTTCTTCTGCAAGATCCCTGACAAGAGGCCATCCAGCCTCTGACTGGCAGTGGAAGACCTGGGTTTGAAACCTAATCCAGAGAGTTATTACTATATCACTGGACAAGTCACTTAACCTCTCTGTGTCTCAGTTGCCTTATCTGTAAAATAACAGGGTTGGCCTTGGTGATCACTGAGGTCTCTGATATGAACCTATGATGCTGAAGCACACTGTTTCACACTTGCACAGCTCTGATTTTCATGAAATCTATGACTTGCTCAACCTGAAATATGCCTCCCATGAGTCCTGGTTCCACCCAGTGGCATTAATAATTAATCAACAAGCAGTTATACAACAAACATTGTGCAAAGCGTCATGGTTAAAAAAAATAAAATGCAACAGTCCCCTGCCCTGATGGAGCCTACGTTGGTTGACGGAGATAACACATATACACACAAGTATATACAAAAACAGACTGCCATGCCAGTCCTTCAAATATCTAAAGGCAACAATCACGCTCCACTCTGAACATCGTTTTTCTACTCTATCTTAACATCTGTACTTCTACCAACCAGTTGTTTGATGGCATGGGCTCTAGTCCTCTCAATAAAGGTTGCCCCCCTATGGAAATAGTTTTAGAGTTCTTACTAAAATATGGTGCCCAGAAACAGACACAATACTCTAGAATTACTATACTTGTCCATATATGGTACTACCAAGGCTGAGGATGTGGATGTGTGGATCCCTTGTTCTGGATGCTAGTTAAGAAAACAGCCTTTACAACCGTCTTCAATCGCTGGTTCAACAAGCATTTATTAAGTGCTTGCTATGTGGATTGGGCACTGGGCTAGGAACTGAGCATACGAAGACAAGAGTGAAGCAGTCTCAATCCTGTGGAGCTTACAATCTATCCAGAGGAAACAGCATTTAGATGTGCAGGAATATACACAATTTATAAGTGGTAATTTGATCTATTTTGGGGGGTGAGGCACTCAGAGCTTGGGGTGGAGGTTAGGAAAGCCTTCATGTCGAAAATGTCATTTAAGCTGAATTTTAAAGGAAGTTATACATTCTAAAAGATGGAGGAGAGGACAAAGCACATTCTAGGCATGGGGGAAACACAAGGTTGTGAGGCAAAAGTAGCTAGCATTTACATAGTGCTTTATGCTTTACAAAGCACTTCATAAATATTACCTCATTTTATCCTCACAACAACCCCAGAGCGATAGGGACTGTTATTATCCCCACTTTACAAATGAGGAAATTGAGGCTAAGTGAGGTTGAGTGCCTTGCCAGGGTCAGCCTGAGATGGGATGTGAACTTGGCTCTTCCTGACTCCAGGTCCAGTCCTCTCTCCACTGAGCTACTGAATGAAGGAACCTGGAGTGGCACATGTGAAGAACACCCACAAGGTAGTTCAGCTGGACCACAGTGTTATGCCAAAGAATGTAAGGTATATTCAGGATGGAAACATGGGTTGGTGACAAGTTGAGAAAAATGCTAATGCTAAAGAGAAGAGTTTCTATTTGATACTAGAGGTAATAGACATATCTTGCTGTTTACCGAATGGAGAAAGGAGTGATATGGTCTGACCTTCACATTAGGAAAATTGCTTTGGTAGGTACATGGAGTATTGGAATAGAGACAGACTTGAACCACGGGGATCAAATTGGAGGCTGATGTAACAGGTTAAGCAGGACGTGATAAGATCCTAGGAGAGAAGAAAAATGGGTGGGGAATATATGGAGCTTAAAAAAAAACTTTTGGCAACTGATTGTGAGGCATATCAGACTGAGCAGCAGAGGGTGACATGAGATTGCTAATCTAGGTCACTGGATGTGTGGCAATGCCTTTGCAAGAAACAGAGAAATCTAAAGAAGTGAGTTAGGGAAGGAGGCTACCATAATGAATTCTGTTTTCAATCCATGTTACTTTTGAGATGCCTACAAGTCAAACAGTTGGATATTTCCAATAGAGAGGTATTTGGTATAATGTGAATGAAGCTGAGAAGAGAGATTGGGGCTAGATATAAAGATATTGACATCATCAGTACACACATAATA